ATATAGAGGCCCTGGAGAGGATGGGGAGCGAGCCCCAGGGGATGGTCTCAGGGCTGGGTTTCACACACAGCTGCTGGCAGACAGGGCCCCTGGGTGCCTGCCTCAGCTCTCTCAGCAGCTGTGGCCTCTGTGCTTTGAAAGGCTAGATTAGGGTACAGCATGTCTTCAGGAAGTTATTAAGTGTTTTTGGAATATATATATATGCAGGGTAATGTTTTGGGATGCTGTACTAAAAACCTGAGGCTAGCCAGGTGTAATGAAGTTTATGATGTGTGCCTGAAGGTATTTGCAGCCTACAGTGGCAGCTGTGAGGGGCAGATTACATCTTTCATCTCACCCTCATGCGGATGAGTTCAGTGGGAGAGAGGTCCTGCAGCCCCCACACTTTATTTTCCTCTCAACCTGGCTCTGTCTCTAACCTGAACTTTATCCTGAGATCTTGACTAGGTCCCTCAGCTGTGGCCCAGGAGAGGAGTTTCTTGCAGCCCTGTTTGCTGGGCACTTTGTCTGGGGCAGGCCCTGCGCAGCCACATCCCCTGGGCTGTCTCACTCATCCTGAGCCCTGGGTTTAGGCTGCACTCTGAGCCAAGGGCATGCATGACAGACCAGGAGAGTGGCCACAGCACCAAGCCTGACAGAGCTCCAAAAGAGATTGGGCAATGCTCTTGGGCACCTGCTGTAACTCTTTGGGATGGTGCTGTGCAGGGCCAGGAGTTGGACTTGGTGGGATCCTTGTGGGTCCCCTCCAACCCAGCACATTCTGTGTGTGATTCCTTGCTCTTATGTGTTGTTCTCTAATGGTTATCATATTTCTAAAGTCCTATACCTCCTGGGTGGTTTTCTCACACACAGCTCTTCACAGCAGTGGTGTTCCTGCTTCTTCATCAGGGCTCCTCCAAGGCTCTCCCTGACTGACCAACCCACCCCCTTTTATCCCAGTTATCTTCATTAGCCACAGCTGCCACCCAATTAAGGACATCACAGCTGCAGCCCATTTAGAACAATTAGGATTGGGGCAAGGCCACTTATACAATACAGATATTTTACTAGGACTCCTACTATACTTATGGGAGATGGCACAACAAGGTTTTCTTGATGCTACTTTTTGTCTGTAGTGAGGATTCCTGCTGCTGCTGTTCCTCTTCCTGTTCCATACCAGTGGGGGATAATAGGGGTCACAGTATGAAACAGGGCACTGGGAGTGCCTGTCCTGGCATGTGTGGGCTTTGTATTGATGTGACCCAGGTTTGTAGGGTTCGCCTTCTATGCTACTTTGTTTCTTCATGGTGAGCTGAGACAGGGCCTTCAGACTATCTTCTCTCCTGAGGTCCTTGTGGGTCACATTGTTGATGGTCTTTATTAAGAAAGCAAGCCCCAAATCCTCCCTCTCTGCCTCCACAAAATCAAGTTGTGGCTGCATTGGACAGACTTGAAATAGCTATGAGCAAGTATTCCTTATTTTTCTAAGGTTCTGAAGCTCAATTTGCCACTTCTCTGATAATATCCTTAGAAGAAATGCAGCCAAATTCTAGGTCATGTCAGCTTTGTGCTCTTGGGTAAGAGATATGATTTTACCTGTTAAAACAGCATTGAAAAGATCATTAGTGATAGTGATGATTGGGAAAGTAATCTTTTGGGAAACCTTCTGGTTGTGGGAGCAGGCATAGCACTTTTTGAATGAGGGAAGAACATCAAGATAGATTATTTTAGAAGTGCATTTACATTTCCAGGAAAACCTCACAATCAGTTGATCTTTGCCTTACTCTAGTTCACAGTGTTTTTAAAGCAGAGATGGGGCTCTGCAACCCCCCTGCCCCTCCTCCCCGTGCCTGTGTGTGTGTGCACGTGGGTGTTTCTGCAAGCGTTGTGTTAAAAAGCAATTGGCATCTGTTGACTTTCTCCATCTGAAGCTGCTTCTTTTTGGGCATATGAGCTGATTCTGTGCACGCTGGCATGTGCCTGGCCCTGACTGACCCTTCATGTGCAGCCCTGCGTGCCCAGGTCCCTGTCAAATGTGGTGCCAAGGCAGAGGAGCCATGGTGGAGGTTCCCCTGCGCAGGCACTCCCGTCTCCATCATGTGTGCTGCCATCCCACATAACCCTGACAGAAGGCTGCCTGTCAGCTGCAGGCTTGGGGTGGGCAGGATCCCTACTTTCTGTGATTTCCTTGCATTAAAAACAGGGAGAAAGGGGAACTTCCCCATCTTGCCTGGCTGATGATGTGGTTGGTAGCTGGCTCAGTTCAGGCAGGGCTGTATCCCATGCCAGCTGCACACCCATGTGTATGCACACACACCTTGGGTGAGCATTTTGTAGGAAGATCCTGTGGGGGAAGGTGTGTGGACATTTGTATTTAAGTGGCTTGATTTATTCCACCGGGTTCTATTTGATTGGTTTGACTCCTCCTCTCTTCCTTCATGTTTTTCCAAATGCTAGGAAGGCCCTGCATTTTTCTTTGCTATGTATGTTTGGCAAATGTGTTTTAGATGACTTTGGCAGGCTTTTGAAAACAAGGCTTGAGCTTCTGTGAGTATTCTAAAGTTTTTTCCCCTTTATAGATAAAAGTATTGGAAGATACATACTATTAGTTGCTTGTATAGTGTAACTCAGAGAAGGCAATTTACTCTTCCGTGTCTCAGCCATGTGTCTTGATTTAATTATTCAGTTATCTCCTCATGAAATAGAGTCACATTATTGCATAAAAAAGAGTAAGCATTATCTGTCCATTTTTAATCTTCAGTAAAGATGGCATTGTTTTGAAAATGTTAGAAATAACAAAATTCTTTTGCAGAGATTATGGTAAAGGGAATGTAATACGGTTGATTTGTGTGTGCATGTTTGGTTGGCCAAAACTGAGGCACCTGAATCAAGCTGTTAGAATTAAGGGCCAGCTCAAGAAATCCAGGTGCCCTTTGGTTTCAGTGCACAAATCTACTCATTAAAGAAGTTATCTCTGTTTTGAAGCCCATCTTTTTTTTTTTTTTTTTTTTTTTTTTTTTTTTTAAACTCTTGAGCAACAAAGCATACATTTCAAGTGTTTTTTTCCCAGAACTATCTGAAACTTCTGGCTTTCTTTGTTCACTCCAGCTGTCAGCAAATTTCAAGATGTGTGTCTCTGTGTTTGAAGAAGTTATCATAGATATTGGTGACAGCTGGGCTTTGAAATGCTCTTTGCATTCAACACACAGTACATGAGGAGTGAGTCATGGACATTTATAGACCATAGTTGGCTTCATATGTAAGTCTTCTAATGATGAGCCTGCCTAATTGAGCTGGGGAAGCTCATGACTTCACCATGTTCCTCAAAAAAATGATCCAGTTGCTAAAGTTAAGGATATAAGCAATGATTTTTTATGATGCTACATTCAATTAATCAATCAAATTAGGATTTTCATATTTTCTGTCACTGCCAGAGGGGTCCAAACTGGTGTGATTTCCACTCCTCAGGGGCTTCCAAGGGTGTTTTTTTTTTTTGCTGTTTTAGTTATTTAAATTAGAAAACATGAGGCTGTGAATTTTGAAGGTTGGACTTTGCAATTATGAAGTTCAGTGATCTTTTCACCATTACCACTTTAATGCACTGTACATTCCTGAGCAAGGTAACTGAATGCAGCAAATTATGTTTAATCACATAGAATTAGAGAAGTTTGTAACCTGTGTTTGTTAATGCTGTGTCTGCTCCAGGTGTAAACTGAACCACCAGAAGTCTGCAAAGACAAAGCTCTCTGTGCAATTATTCTGGATTTGTTTCCATCATGTGTGGAAGAAATACTATTAAAAAAAGTGAAGGTGCACTCTTGGATATAACAAAAGTTTATGACTGACAAAGCGTCCTTTCTTTTATCCTTCTCAGGATTTTCAGAGTGTTTTTCAAAAGTCAGCTTTTGTTTGACTTTCCAAGCATTGGAAGAATCACTAATGCTGTTCACAGGCCTGAATGCCTGGATTCCACAAATTTGCCAGGCCTGTGTCTTCAGTTCATGCTGCATCATTCAGTGTTACAGACTTGTACTGTAAAACTCCCTGACTTCAGACTGCAATGCCTGCTAATGTTGATTTTCTTTCAAGGCTGTAAAAATGCACATGATGTAATTGAGAACTGTATAATGTGTAATAATTCTGCATAAAAATGAATAGTAAATGTAGGAATAAGAAAAAAATGGAAGGACAACATATTTTAATGAGACTGTACTTGCAGGAGTGACCGGCAAATATGGAGGGTTTTGTACCTAATTTTAGCTACCATGTTGATTCTTTTCTCACTGTTTACTTAGGAGGGTTTAAGTCTTGGTGCTACCTCTTGGCTTGGAATCTCCATCGTGCTGTAGCCCATGTTTCCGAGATGGGCAGCAGTGTCTGTGTGTGGGGAGCAGCAGAGGGCACAACGTGAAGTTGTGCTGGGAGTGTTGCAGGGACATCACCCCCTGCTGCTGCCCAGCACCTTTGTTGTGTGTTTAGACCTGGTCTGGGAAAATAAGTGGATGAACACTGGAAGCTAGTGAATGCAGAAAACAGGAAGATATGAGTCTGAGAGTGGATTTGTCTTCTGCTAACACAATTCAGCTTCCTTTTCGCAGCATGAATGTTCAATAAATTTTATTTCTCAAGGCTGTGTTTTAAGAACACATTCCAGGTTGTGTTCCTATTTAAAAAAATTTTAGTGAGGAAGCATCCTGAATGAAATTTTGAACTTTGTCCAGTGACAAAGAGAAAGAGAGAGAGAGAGAGAGACCTTGTAGTGCCTAAATGGAATTTATTGTAACTGAACAGGAAAAGCCCTGAAATACAAGACTATGTAGTTGAGGAAAAGCATTGTGTTTTCTGTCATCTTACATTCATTTGACCTTGAATTAGAGCAATGTCTTTGACTTGAGTATCCATAAGACAAATTATAGCAAGAACAAATTGTTTTAAAGCACCTATTATTATAATTTATTTTTTTTATTAGTGCATAACATAAAGTTATTAAGTGCTTTTGTCCTGTTTTTTTGTTATTTCAGGCTTGGGTCACAGAGAAACATGAGAATTTACACTTCTGAAATAGGTGTGAATGGGATTGAAGGAATTCCGTGGAGGATTCTGAACTCTCCTTCTTCCTGCTTCAGGAAAGATGAGTGAGTGTATTATGAAATAATTTATAATTAACTCAGTCCTTACTTCAGAAGGTTTTTGGTCAAAACAGGAAGATACAATTCAGATGGCTGTATGTAAAAATGGAAGAAATTTCAGATACTACAGATACACCTCCTAATTACAAACATCAGCCTTCAGAATCTGTTGGTCCTGTTTAGTAATATGAGAGTTTCCATTAAAATACAGTGTGACCTTTCTGTAGTAAATTTCACCCCCTTCTTCCCCCACCAACTGTCTGCTGTAAATGTTCTGTATTTGAAAGCTTTTAGCCCAATGTCAAAGAAAGCTGAACTTACAAAATTAATTTTGCCTTTGTTGAATTGATTCTGAGTGGGGCTGTTGCTGGAGAAAAGTGCAAGTTTGAGCTTTATTAGGCCCCTGCATGTATTTGTTAGTGAAACAGACCGGTGAGAAACAGCAACAGAAATGTTCATGTCACACCTGGGCTGCTCCTGAAGCCTCTAGGAGTGCAGCTGATATGTTAGTTCCAGTGGCTGCAAATCCAACTTTTGTGTCTTCCTGCCTCCCTCCCTTGCTGTACCTCTGCCCACAGAGGGAAGGAAAGGAACTCCAAGGCCAAACCCGTGGAAGGATAAATGGGACTTCACTTTGGGTTGTGGTTCTCTGCCTCTGCCTGTAGATATGTGGGACCATCATTGGGAAAGGGCACATGACTTTTCTGTGGAGTTTTCTGTGGAATCCTGACATTCTAATTGTTTTCAACTTCATGCGTACCTTGCATACGTCACCTTCAGATACTGAGCAATGAATAAGATCTGTGCTCCTTAGCACAGCCTGGTCAAAGTGAAAAGATACAAGTCCTGTTGGAAAATCACATGGTGTTTAAGTCCTGGCTTTTGGCAGAGGTTTCTCCCTTTGCATCAATGCACACAAGGCCATGCATATGGTCTTGCGGATGTACCAGTGCTGAGCAGTGCTTAACAGGAAAGTTTTCAATTGCAGGTGTTGCTGACCAGACAGCTCTTTCACCAAGCTGTCATACAAGAAATATTTAAGAGCCAGTAAAAATGAACCCTAAAACTGGCAGAGTGACAGCAGAGTTTTTTTATTAGTTTAAACGTTCTTATAATTCTTGAACCTAGCTTAGATTCATTATGTCTAAATTGTGTGCAGGGCTGAAAATGGAGGGTGCACCATCCAAAGCAGCTTTGGGTGACCTTTTGAGACTTTTACACTTGTACATGGGAGCAGGTAACACCTAAAGCAATAGGTGTGTCTGGACAGCACTCTCAGCTTCAGAGGGCCAGAACCAAGATGATACCAGGCTGCCTACAGCCCTAAAGTCAAAGAAGATGCCTTGGGTGGTGTCAGAAGAAAAGGCAATGATATTTTTGGGTTGAAGTTTTCAGGGACAATGTCTGAGGCTTTTCCTGAAGGGGAAATAGGCAGCAGGTGCAAATATATGCTGGAGAAGAGCAGATTGCAGCAAGGTTCAGGAGTACCCCAGTACTTGGAGGGGGTAAAAGGGTAGGCAGCAGAGGAAAGAAAGAGGGTGTCAGTGGTGTATCAAAAGCATCTGGAGCTCAGTGGGTGAAGGAGGAAAACAAATGGGAATAGTAACTTGTGTGGCTTCTCCAGAACAGAGAGTAGGATGAAAGGATGCAGTGGAAAGTGAAATGGGTGGGAATTTTTCTGTTCAACCATCTACCCCAAACACATTTTTTTCCCTCCAGAGATGTTTCCTGGTAGGCTGTGTTTGAAACCAAGTATTAAGGAGTCTCCCCTGCAGCTGACAAGAGAGAGAGAGGTGAGAAAAATTCAGGGAATGAGAAATCACAACTTTCTGAATGAGGGAAAAGAGCAAAGGGATGAAAACTGTGCAGGCAATAATGAGAAAACAAGCGTTTTGAGGGGAAGTTTTGGAAAGTAATGGGAGAGCAGGGATCTTCATCAGGAAATACACAGTGGTAAGATTTGATTTCCAGCTGTCTTGGGTTTTTTATATGTAAATGGCAGCTCTTACTGGAGGGAAGGAAAAATCACTTTTCTCATCAAGGAATTGGAGAAATCTCACTATATTTGCTTGCTTACCCAAAGAGTGCTTTAATGTAAGTGTGGGAAAGCAATAGAAACATTTTGGTAGTACTTCTTGTATTTTCTGTTTTCTGAAGAGGGGTATGCATATGGTAACACAACCTGGGGTACCCCTCAGCCTACACACCCACCCTTGCGTGTCTTGAGGTTTTTTCTGAAAAGATGTTATTTTTTTCCCCCTACCTTTCATATACTGACTTGCTTAGAAAAAGACAATATTTTAAAACTTTATTTTGAACTTTGTCCTAATGAAGTCTAGCCATATTCTGGCCTGAATATTCACTGCTTGATGGTAACATTAAAATGTCTGTGAATGTTTAAAAATTTGGGTTTTGCATAAGTACCTTTTGTCCTGTGCTGGGTAGGATGGCTGTCTCTTGGCAAAAAATGACTCCTGCCTGAAACCAGAGCAGGTCTGAAGCTGACCTAATAGCTCATAAATTGGCATATTTTCTCAAAAAGGTGATCAGCTTGGCAAGGTTTGGGCTGGTCTGTGTTTGTGGTTGCATTAACCTCTACCTCGTGTCTGCTTTTTCTTCAGCTACAGTTGTGCTTGCAAGGTGTTTGTGGTAAATTTGCTTTATCAGGAGGAGACTGGGAGTGTCACACATGCCAGAAAAGTACCCTCATCTTTCCTCATTCATTCCCTATGTGTGTCATACAGAGCTGGGAGTTCCTGTTTTAGCAGTCACTAAAATATGTTGATAATGTTTGCTTCCAACAAGACTCTCCTCTCCTGTACATCCTGTTGCCTTCCTCTTTCAGCCTGTTTCTGGGTCAGTCTGGGGGCTTTGGGAGCTTGTCCTGGTTCCCCAGACCCCTGGCAGTGGTAAAAGGGAGATGCTGCTGACTGAGCTGCAGCACAGGCAGGCCTGGTATCCCCAGTGCTGCGGAAAAGGAATAGCAGGTCCAGCAATCCTGACCTTTCTGGGAGCACCACACACATCCTATATGCCTATCCCATGGCTGTTCCCACTGTTTGGCAGGGCAAGGCTGACACCAAAGCAATGTGGCTGTGTGTTTGCAGTTTTCCACGGCTGGAATCGAGTATTGGAAACTTCCATTGATGCCTGGGAGCTTCTTAATCCTGAATGTGCTCACTAAGGAGCTTGTCCTCCATATGAATTGCCTGGCCATGTTACTCTTTGTCTGTTTCTAACCCTGTCTATTAATCAATTTTATTTTATTTTTTCAAAACAACTAAAAATATAGGTAAAGCAAAGACTTTATTGTATCTGTAAAGATGCTGACCTAGCATCAAATGGAAGAGTATGATGAAGTGATAAATGTTTCAAGCCCCTGGCCTTTTATCTCTTTTATTTCTTTTTTTTAAATGTTTCTCAGACTTAAGTGATTGAAAAGTTTTCCAGATCTGATAACTGCAAAGATTTCAAGTGAAACTTTTGGCTTCTGTCCCAGTATGAGATCATACAAAGTGATATTAGCTGAATTTGTACCAGAGTTTGAAAAGAAAATGAAAACACCTTACTGTTAGTGTCTCTCATCTATTTTTCAGCTATGCTGGACAAGTGTTTTCTCATTGGTTATTTTCTGAGTACCATTTGAAATATTTTCAAATATATGTGTGTATATATATATGCACATTTTCTTTCTAATATTGTATTTAATTTAAACTCTTTGGGTTTTTTATCCTTGCTAGCAGAGCTCCTTGGATTTAATTTTACATAGAAGTTTTTAAATCTAGTATTGCAGAGAAAATTCACTACAAGAGAGAGGATATACTGAATTCCTGCTGCTATTCCAGAATGACCTTAAAACAAAATCTCTAACCTGTCTTTTTGTCTGGTTTCTGTGGCAGGAGACTTTGAAAGCAATGGTCCTTGTAGGGGTGTGTGTACCTAATAAGAGTAAATGTGTGTCAACTACATGTGTTTTGTGGGTCTCCTTCCATAGAGAAATAAAACAAGATAAATAATGCCTTAAGTTAGGCATTTAGATTACTGAACAGGGCTGAACTTCAAGGCTGAACTTGCAAACCCAAGCAATCGGATGCTAGAAAATTCTATATTTAAAGCTATTAATCCATCCATCCCCTTGGCAAATATTCATTTTGATTGCCTTTAATTAGAGGATCGCATGCTTCCCCCCTCCCCCCCACCCCCCAAGGCATGTGTATTGTTCACCACACAGCATGGCTAATGCTTAATGAGTGGGTAGGTTGTTGATGTTTTGTTTCTCACCATTTCTTGTATGGCTTTATTTACTGCATGGTTGGCAGATGGTGCACTAAATACAGAACTACTCATTTCCTCGTGGAGATTTTCATGGCGTTAGCACCATTAAGAGTTACTTTACTGCATGTTTTTCAGGGAATCTTAATCAGGAGTGCAAAATAAGACCTACACGTATATTTAACCAAATTCTGAGCCTTGACAGTTAATTTTCTGGAAGGAGATGGTTGCAGCACAGTTGCCTTGGTGTAAGATCTATCAGGTTCTGTTGATTCCTTCCCCCATTCTTCTTTTTTTTGTAGCAGAAAGCAACAGTGGGTCAAAACTCCCACAGAGGCACGAGGTATCTCCATAACTCAAATAGTTTGGTGGAAATGTTGTAAAGAGCTATAAGTTCCCTTCTTCTCTCCAATGTTTTTCTTCTTGCCATTGTTAATTGTACAAGAGAACACAGAATTTCACACGTCAGAAATCTCTTCTGCAATCAAAGGAGTGGATATTTTGTCCAGCAAACTGGCTCAGCAACCTGCTTCCAGCATTCAGTGCACGTTTGAGACCTGATGGAAATGAACAAAGCTTCAAGACCTACTGTAAGCTACAGGAAGAGAACACCCTTCATCTGGTTTCTGTCTTGGAGGCTGTAAGCTCTTCAGGCTGGAGCCTGTGCCTTCCCATATGTCGATAGAGTATTTCAAGCACTATAGTAGTATAAACAGCAGTGGATGAGGTCATCA